TACTAGTAGTAACAAGAAGCTATTAGTAACAAGTGCCTTACTAGTAGGAACAAGGACGCTATTAGTAACAAGTGCCTTACTAGTAGGAACAAGGACGCTATTAGTAACAAGTGCCTTACTACTAGGAACAAGGACGCTACTAGGAGCAAGGACGCTACGAACGGGGCATACCTGGATGAGAGTCTGACTCTCGTCTCGAGTGCCACGCGGTGAAGGAAGGGAGGGTGAAGCGGTGAAGCTGGGGCGAAGAGGGTTCCAAACATAGATGGGCCAAATAGGGTTTACCAATCTCCTTTCTGGGGAGATAGTTCTAGTCTTGAAGATGGTCCCCCAAATGTCCCAAAAAACCAATCAAATTATAATCCTATAATGGCTGTAATGAAAGATGAGGCGGTCGGGAACAAGCTGAATTAAGATCCCAACACGTGACAGGGCAAATGCAGTTAAGGATACTCAGCCTGACATCATCCACATCTGTCAATGACAGCAATGCTCAACATGAACAACTAGCCGAGGCTTAAGACACTTGAATCATACATACCTGTTATATAAGGAATTGGATCACTGATTTCTAAAAAAATCGGTTAGACGACTCGACGACCAACTTCTAAAGCAAAGTTCGCTGAAATTCGATCCGCGACTCCAATCCGCCCAGATCTGCCCAAGCGGCCAGCAATTCTGTGCGTAGTGCCTTGGATCTGACGAGGTGCAGCTTGGCCCAAGCGAGCTGCAGAGAACCCCCGTTAAGCCCGAGGAAAACGAACAAAAACAAACCTTGATTCGAATGGTTCTACTCAGTTCTACTCCCCAAACTTCCCCAAAACACAAACATGTCAAGTTCCTTTAGCTTCAAACCCACAGCTATTTTGAGGACTTTCAGCCAAGTTTGTCAAACGAAGAGCGAACATAGGATACACCCCACCCGGGATAAACTGGACGTGGCCAATGTTCCTCCAAACTGATACTGTAACAAGAATTCCTTGGGCTTTTGGACCCCTCTCTGCTTTCAGACCGTCTCTCTGCTTTCAGTCCCTCACCTCCATCTCTCAACGCTCGGACCGAGGTCGGCGTCCTCTCTGCTTCCGCTCCGCCCAGTCTCTTCCTCCGTGTCGCCGGGGCGCCGGATGTAAGGTCCCCGGAAGCTGCTGCCCAACTCTTGGGGCGAAGCGCCTAAGGCCTCCGTCTCGTTGGTCTCTTCACTGGCCGCCGGGGGACCCAGACCTGAACGGTGTGGTGGTGTCTGGGAACCTTGCGGCCGGTCTCTTGCAAGATCTTCTAAGGGAATTCCCATCAACAACAAAGCTTAGGTGGAATATGTTTATTGAATTTACATGACATCACTGTAATATGAAGTATGGCGATGAGAACTATGAGACATCCAAGGAAACATGATCAGGGTGAACATGCAGGTGTTTTTGGATGGGATGGTGATGCTTGATCCGGTGGCAGGTTCCAGAGTTTCTTGGATTGGGAAGTGGGAAAGGGAAGTGGACATAGAAATACTGCATAGTTCTAGCGTTGAGTAAAGGACCACTTCAACAGAATGCCCCATTCAACGCATCTGCAAAGCAGTGCATCTGGTTAGACTCCGACAATAGTATGGCAAATCACTTGCTCCGAGTGAAAATCGATGAAACTCGTCTCAAGGCCTCCATCATGGCAAAGGGGGTCACAGGTGACCTCGGAAGAGGCACGGCAGGTGGTGCCCGCCACGCTCCACAAAGGTAGAAACCAGCCACTGACCAGCAGGACATGTCACTCCTAATTGGCGACACCACTTCCGGGGTCTATCCACAGGGGCCACCGGTGGTCCCACCAGATTTTTGTGGTAGAGATTCACTGCAAAGCTTCTTAAACGACTCCTGAAGCTGCATTGAACACGGAGAACCCAACATGCATGTATTGCTCGTCTTTTTCAGTGTCTTAAGTCGAAAAACTGTAAAGCACCACCAGATTATGTTTGTGAAGAATTACTTTCCACACACTTGAGAAAGAGCTCCAAGGAGCTAGATTCAGGGTGGATCTCGGTGAGCATTAGCACTTTACTTTTACCGCAATTTGGACCTTGGCTGCAGAACAGAATGGCGATGAGTCCAAGCAGTTGTATTGCTTAACATGGGTGAAAAGGAGACGGTGATTGAAGCAATTTGCAGGTACGTCAAGAAAGCTTTCCTTCTGGATATCACGACCAAACCATCAGTGTCTTCATTGGCCAGTGAGTGACGCGGGTCCCCTTGTCCCCTGCTGGGACTGTTCAAAACACGAAAGCAGGTTCCCTGGAAAGGGGTGTTGACACACACACACAAAAAAAAATAAAACAACAAAGAAGCCTATATTTGATCCTTCAACCAACTTGCATAACTGACCATCATAACTTGACTTCTTCAACTCTTTGCCAAAACAACTTGCTACTCAGCTCCCCTCGCTCAGTGCTTCGTGGATGTTTCACTCATCACTGGGGCCGCAGCAAAGGGTGTCACCTGGCACATCCGAAGATCATTCATCCAATGAGACTTCTGAGTCTGGACAGGAAGCTCTTTACTGCCTTAAAGGGGAATCACTTGGGCCAGGGCCATCTTTACAGAATGAGGTCTCCTACTACTAGCAGCTGAAGGAGTACCATGTACAAGATTATGGCAAGCAATGTAATGTTTAGATTCAGATATATTTAGATAGCATCCTGCAGCTACCTCACAGGAATCCACTTCCGAAACGTCTTCGAGTCCCGTTGGCTTAGTAACTTTCAGCAGCTTTCTGGCAATATGGGTGAGTCACCCACTAGAAATATACTGTAGACATATTTTGACATCCTGACCAAACACCGCCCAACCAGGGCGACTTGGCAGGGGGGTCGCCACCCAATCCGTTTCGTGTCGCCTCTGGTGACGCAACCATCAGCTCCTCCATCCTGTGGATCGTCAAATCGGCGACTGAACAGAAAGTGATTGACAAAGGTGCAAGAAAACCGTCCTTGAGTAGAGAGAGTGAGACATGCCGTGCGACAACTTTTGGTCTCTACTGGAAGATGATTACAGGTCCTTTAGACAACATCCATTGTAGCCATACACCTCAACAGCTGCCCGAAGAAAACATGGCGTCGGTATCACCAACTGGTCAGGGGGTGTAGCCGCAAAGCCTCCCAATGACTCCTAGGGTCAATGCCAAACATCGAACAAAGACTCTCATGGTTGGAGTCAGTTGGAGGGTCTCCCTGTTGAAAATGACCTAGTCTGTAGACCTGTGCATCGCTCAAACCGAAGGATGCAGTCCGGCCTCTGTCTCGTCTGCAGTGCGTTGAAGGCACAGGTTTCACCTGTGGCGCTGCTGTGCAACCGAAGACCGAGGATCTTCTCTTATCGAGTCGGGCGCTCCTGCCTGTATGCATAAATATCCTTGCTTCCAACTGGCCTGCACAAGGCTATGTAAGTTCCTGAGATATTTTAAGAACTACTCGGTATTTTGATGGCTGGTGTTGCTGAGAAGCAAACCAGCTTGTAACTACTTGGTCTTGTACTGTACCGAGGCTCCACGTCCCACGGTCCCATGATATATTCTTCTGATAGTATTGTGATAATACATCTTACAACGCGATGTTTCTCGGGAAAGAATGAAATCGCGAGTCACTCTAAAGAAAGTCCTAAATCTGAAAGTCAGCCACAGGATATCATCACATCAGTGACTGGGCATCTGCATTGGGAGCGTGAAGAGTGGATTCCGCATGGGTCCAATACCTTACCAGTGACTGAAAAAATGACTGTGACACACAAGAGTGCGGCCTGTGCACTCATCGTTGGAAGACAGCGCGACCTGCAGAAAGAGCTCTCATCAACAAATATGTTTGAAAAAATGGAATCCAAACACATGGAATCAACAAATACATGATTTCGTTTGCTCATGCAAAAACTGGTTCATAGAACCCTGCAACTCTCAGAGGTGCCCATGCTTGTGTTATTTAAACATAAAAGGACTTCATATGGTGAGTCGTCTTGGCTGAGATCCATGGGTTCTCCTTCCACGTCTCTCCTGTCTCTGTGTTAGTTCTTCAACTGGAGCATGTTAGTTCTTTACATGGGGGAGAACTACCTTCACAAGTTGCCACAAAAGTTTGTCGTTCAACGACCGGACAAATGTCCAACCGACTCATACAATTGCCCAAACGAATCTCTGGGAGTGTTCTGGCAGTTCCAAGAAGATCCATAAATTTGTTGTTTAAAACTTGAATGGAGATTGGCAAACAAAAAGGTTAGCGACCAGGACCCTCGAACAGGTCACCAATTTACGTAAATACATGCAAACACAAAATACACCCACCACATGTACAAACACCTCTACAGTAACCACCCTACAACACTGGAAGGTCCTTTACAGGAGCGGCGACGGCGACGGCGACGGAGAGGGCCTGACCACCCTCAACAAACACCTGTTCCAGAGTCTTAATACCAAGAGAGGAGTGGATTCTGCATTCGTGTCGAACTCCTTCGGCAACGACTTGGCTTTCAGCACCTCCACATCGGTGGTCGCCTGTGGCGGAAGGAACTGGCTGGGAGGGAAAGTTCATGAAGCGACTTGCTAAGGCGGGAGATGCTGCTGACGATAAACATGTCCTCCGCCAAAATAGGATCAACCCACTGCAAACACAGCCATGGTCCATATATATATGTATATATATACACATCCATTGTGTGTTTCCTTATCTTGCAGTACAAGTCATCTGATACATAATGACTTCATCATCAAAGGAGTTGTTTGATGTTCCTTGATTTTGTTTCATGAACCTTTCCTGGGAAATGGAATGATGTCAGGGAACGTGTTGGTTTGTTTGTCAGCCTATGTCCTTTCACAATCCAATCCAAACTCCCGCACATGGGGTCAGCTCATGGGTCAACAGCACGTGGGTCAACATGGGCGGGACATCACATAGCGCTGCCATTCTCATGCGTCGACTGTGCTGCGCGAAACAACGCTACAGCCTGGAACAGTAGCTTTCTATCTCTACAAGAAAAGACTCTGCAGTTTGGGTCCAGCTACCAAACATGTATTCCAAAAAAGAAAGGAGTCAACTGTTGCCTCTGCCTCGGATCCTAGGCTCGAATCCTTAGAAAGTACATATGTCTACATGTCTACATGAGGCATTCTCGGCTCTTTTCGGTCTTCAGTTTTGCAGCTCCCAAGGAATCTGCGAACTCCCCCGGTGGGCGGCCAACGCCACCTGTGCGAGGCACCAGGCCAGAATCGACCCCAAATGCGCCTTGGTGAGGGATGGTCACAGAATTCAAGTGAGGAACGGCACTTTTTAGGATATTTTAGATATACACATACATATTGTTTTTTTACATACTCTGACCTTCCAAGACCCTTCAAAACAACGGTTTGTCTAAATCCTTCGTAAAAACCATGTATTTTTTCTCTTGGTGAGACCATATTTAAATAAATCATTGCTTGAAATCTTATACATATACTACTTCTGGACGAGTAAACTATATAGCTTTGGTGACGCTTCCCATTTCCTTGCCTTGGGGAAACACACACAAAGCCAATGTGTTGGGTCAACACTTTCAAACATGTCAAACAAAGGCCCTTGTGGGCGCTTCTTCAAGGTGGCTTTGCGGCTTCACCTTTGCTCTTCGGCGAAGAAGCGGGTCTAGCGCTGTATGGTGCAAAGTCACCTATAAGTCCACCACCGACCGATTCTGTTCAATCCTCCGACCTCTTCTGATTTTGCCTTAGTAAGGCACTTGTTACTAATAGCTTCTTGTTACTACTAGTAAGGCACTTGTTACTAGTAGCGATGCACTTGTTCCTAGTAGCGTCCTTGTTCCTAGTTTGATTCTTTTCAATCCTCCGACCTCTTCCGATTTGGTGTAGGGCGTTTGCTGATTAGATGTGCTCCCGAAGGCTGTTTCAATCGGACAAAAAAACAGTCATGGCCCTACCCGGTTGCTCTGTGTGCGGGGTTGGTTCTCTTGTTCAGTTGGATGAACCCCCAAAAGGATATCCATACTGCGTTCCCCTGCCTGAGGCGGGCTCTATGGGGCCTGATTACCATCCGGTGTCTAATTCGGTGCCTTAATTCACTGCATGTAGGCTACTGGCTTTTACCAACGGCTTAAGACGGGCAACAAAAAGTCAGCATAGGGCCCAAGGAGGTCCTTTGGTCAAACCATCATATTTCACGAACCTAAAAGAACTATATAAATGAGGGAAAATCCATAGGATTTGGATCTCTCCTCTTCATTTGGATCCTCCTCGTGGCACCAGGGACCTGGATGGAAGTCCACATTCTTTGACTTGATATTCTCAAAGAACCCTTGCAGTCCACAAACACCCATCCTCCCATCCTCCCCTTCCACTCCCCTTCGGCGTGGTGCGGCGCGCATCAGACCGGTCGACACAAAAGACAGCGGTGGCCTCTTTTGAAACGAAAAACAGCTGCCACGGACTTTGAGCGACATGGTCAGCCGTCTACATGGCCACCTTTGCGGAATACATACACCTATGGATAGTCCAGAGACGTTAGGAGGCTGGTGGCTCATTGGGAAGGAGTCATCCTATTGGGATTGTTGGAAGTCTCTCAAGAATTTTCATCGGCTGCTCCAAGGCTAGGATTCCTTCTTGGGGGTTCACCTATTCTGTAGTGATTCAAGAACATGAGGAGTGATAGCCCCTGAATTTACAGATCTGTTCATGTCGTATCAGTTACAGTAGGTCACGTGTTGTCCATGATGATAGTTCATTTCATGCCATGGTTTAAGACTGGGACTCAATACTTTCATCAAATAACCTCTTCCCAGAATAACTTGTTTTTTCTTTAATCAAGGCCATGCCATTTGACATGGATTGGCTGATGAGCTTTCCCTTCGCAAACCCTCCAAACCATCCAAACAGTGCATATTGCGCATCAGAGGTTCAATTCATGTCCCTGGCTTTTGCTCTGTTTTCCTCAATATCTGCAAGCCATCAGAGTCCAAATCCAAAACCTAAAAAGTTCCCCACCCAACGACTCCACCAAAGCGACTCCCACGACTCCAACTACCCCACCGGCGCTCGGCGCTTTTCTTCGGCCGATCCGAGTGGTGCGTTCGTTCGTGCGCCAGGCGCCAGGCGATCGCCACAACCCCTGGCAGGGCGCGATGGGAGGCCCACAGGGAGAAACCTGGACGACTCTGGTAGATTAGATGGTAAATGTTTAATGAAAGTGTCTCATAGAAACCATTGGATTAGATACATTCCACTTATGGATAGAGTGGTTTCTCAGAGATTCTCATCGGACTCATTGGATTGAAACTGTCTCGAAATTGGAATCGGCCCAGTGTCTCGAAACCGGCGTTCTCCTGGGACGGTCTTCTCGCTGCATTGCACGCGAGGACCAGACCTGGTCGACAGCCTGTAGCTGGAGTGAAGGAACGGAACGGTCTGAAGGAGGGGCCTGGAACTCGACAGTTGAAGGGAACAGCGCTCTTGGAACTCGACAGAGATGCCCTTCGAACCCGGTGTGATTTCACACATCATTCGGCTGTTTGCATGAAGAATTCTCTTGCATGGATGGGCAAAGACTCTCTGGTTGGTATGGGATCACTTGAAGCGGTGCAGAAATCACAGAGCTTCTGACTGTAGTGGATCTGGTCAGCCGAGCTGACTTACAAATGTGACTGGAAATATCTGCATGGAAATTAATATCATGCATAATATGTATATATATACAGTCTATATTATATATACACATGTCTTGGAACGGCCCCTATTGAAGCCACTGGAAGAAGGTAACATCGATACAACACCATTGGTTACTGTGGGGGAGTGTTGTATAGGAAAACTCGGCCAAACAGGTGTTGAAAAAGCTGGTCCAAACACTTATTCTGCAGTTCGGGATACTGGCGGAATCTGTCATTGATTCTAATAACTTAAGAACGCTTCCTGTACCAAAGGCAAAATACGGGCAGTCTGAGGTGTCTGAGGACAAGAGTTCCCAAAGGCCTGTGCCTGAACTCTACCTTTTGTGATGGAGTTGCATATCAAAAGGATGATCCAATTCTGGGTGCTCCTAATAGCGAACATTGCTCCTAGTAGTAAGGCCAGAAGCCCCGTTCGTAGCATTCTTGCTCCGTTCGTCCGGTGCTGGAGCCTTCAGGCCCGAGAGACGGGTTGCGTCCACCCGAGAGGCTCGGACCTGGATGCACGACCCGGATGCTCCTCATTCTTGCCATGGCCTCAGGTCGACCGAACTGAAACGACGAGACGCACAGATTGACGCACATGGACAAACAGATTGACCAAGCTAACGTACATCGGCATATGTTTGTGGTACATTCGAGTGTATCTATAAGTCAAAGGGGTGTCAAGTGAATAGACCTTCCCTGATTTCAGGAGCCTTGACGTGAAAATCATTGCGGAATTCGCCTGATAGGAAGCAAACAAATCCCAATATAATACATGAGGGAGTATTGAGGATCCAAGATCTTCATATCAACTCTTGACTTGACACACGCTCGTTTTCACGCAGCAGTCATGACTGCACATCTAGACACCCCATTTTACAGAGCACACTGTGCTGAGGAGATGAATCACATATATAATTAAAAAAGATAATAGAACTGACGCGACACAGGGACTCCAATTGCTTCCGCTTCATTCTGAAATCAAGGGGGTACGTAGATCCCATTGTCGCACAACATTTAAGACTACAGTGCCTCGAAACCTTCCCTCTTCCAATCCCTTTATTATTTTTGCCATTGATATTTCCTTCAACACATATGCTTTTGATAGCAAAATGACAACTGCAAAGTCACAGCTGGTCAACATGATTTCGTATTTGGTTCCTTTAGAACAGATATATGATAAATGGTTCACAAAAGCAAACGGTGAGAAACTGTGAGCACTACAGACTGTTGGACATACGTCTTGACAACTCGTTTCTTTATAATACCAGGGGGTATCCCGATGCAGGGTACAACATGCTACCAGCATCACCATGAAACGATTTCTAAGAACAAAAACGATGTCATGGAGGAAACAGGAGGAGTATTATATATATATATACCACACATATAACTATATCTGCGAGATCCAACCGTACTTGGCTTCGAAAACAACTGTCTCCTTTGCGCCATGCAAGATATTCTGAGTCTAGACAAATCAGAAAGACCGCCTCCTATGCAATTGGCACTCAACTGTGCGAGATCAAAATACGTCTGTCACACACAAACAGGATCTACGCAACGTAGGCTCTGGTCTTGGATCTTATTTGTGGACCTTAAAAGAACAAAACAGCCCCAAAGGTAGTGTCACCCATGCAGTAGTTGTATACTTGCGTGTGTGTTTCTTTGAAGAATCATGTAACATGCCACACATATTTCTGGTTACTTGTCTCTGCGACTCTGTGATCGCTATACCATAGCACGACTTCCAGTTTCGTCACCGAACATTGCAGAACTAATAGTGTAGGAGGATGATATCGATCTAAGTGATTTCTATGGACATGACCACAGCACATCAATGGATTGCATGTTAATGGTTGTATATACAAATAAAGCGGTCAATAAACTCCTTCGAGGAGTTGGAAGGTCAACAGGATACAGCACAATCATTGCCTGTTGTATGGGCTTTTCATACCACCCTGGATGTGAAGCCCCATCAACCTATACTATACAATGCGGAACACAAGCTTCTTTGCTTTGCAAGGCCAACCAACTTTGTCACTCTGTCGTCAAACATGGTGGCTGAAAAATATTAATTAGAAATCAGAGAAGTAAAATGCATCATTAGCTCCCATAACTCCCATGCCATGCCCCCCAAAAAACAACGTTTCCATTTGACTGAACCGGGAAGCGACACTCCGCCAAGCCCCGAACACTGGAGCACATGCTCGACAGCCACCGACGTAGCGAGAAAGAGTGCCCATGGTCTGGCCGCGACGGCATGGCGCCCAGCAACACGCGAAAGGATTTGCAGGTCTTATGAGCAGTACCAAAGGCCAAGAAAGCCCCCATGGATACCCATGGTCTGTGAGAAGCCAACACTCTTCCAGGTTTTCCGAAGGCACTTTAACCATCAACAAATGGTAGCTAAGCCACGGGTCACGCCGTGTGTTCACCATGTCGTCTCCACACCTTTTTGTTCCATGCTGACCAAGAGACCCACGTGTTCACGTCTCGTCTGGGTAGTGGATAGTTCAATCATGTTCAATCCATGTGCATTCGGTGCCAACTGACATCGCCCCCTTCTCTGGCGTCCTGGCCTTAACAATGTCACCCTTAATGGCGTCGTACCAAGCACCCTGGCAGCAAAACCGTCAGAACATGCCAAAAACAAAACAACAAAAACAACATCAAACAATTCTTCACTTGATGTTTGATCGCGGACTCGTGGACTCTGTGATTCGGGGTCCAAGTCTCCCAGGGATATCAAAGTCAGGGCTTTCCAGAGGTTCCGGAAAAAAGGAGCAAACACAAACACTCCAGGGTTCCCACATGGTGAAGGAATCGGCTCCAAAACCAAACCTTACGTCACATGACTCTCGCGTCACATTCCGGGGCTTCTCGGCCCAAAACTCATCGAAGCACCCTCCGGTCAATGGAACAAATACTTGTGTCAATACTACCCACATCACACGTTTCCCACGGTGGCGCACGTCTTGATTCCCACGGTGGCTACCACTAATGAGCCAGTTGTGGCGGTACCTCGCCAGCTTTTCCGCGTGGGCCGGAACACCAAAGACTTCCATCTGTTACACCACCCAGAAACTCCAGAATACAGGATACATATCATGGGTACATGACTAATGTGCCTAGTGACCTGAGGCCTAAAGTGTCCTGTCTGACATGTGTCCAGAGCGATGCCTGAAAGTTAATTATCTGTGTTCAGCTGTGGGGGGTCAGCCTGGTACAGTCCTACAAAACCTTATTACTGTACAGTATAGATAAGTAAGAAGTTGGAACAAGTTGGATATCAACATCATTCAACATCAATGCATCAATGGTAACAATGTGTACAGAGGCTGTAACCATACAAAGTCAACTTAAATGTTTGAGGCTGAAAATAATGTCAAACCTTCTTGCTGACCAAAGCTTCCTGTCCAAAGGGCACAAACGAGACCAGCGCGATGTTATCAGTTGAAAGCTAGTCGAATAGAGCTTCGCGACATTGCACAGCACTGAAGGACTCTATGGGCAACCCTCCCAATACCACTCAAACAACCCACAAAAATTGTACCCTCTGTCCTTCTTGACATCGAATGGAACTACGGAAAACGCCTCCCCTCAAAAAGGAATCAGTCACAAAGCCCTGAAGCCAAAACCCACTGAAATTGGATGGCCGTACTTTTGCTTGTTTCCAGAAACTACGGACCCAAAAGAATGCAAACTTCACAAGAGCTCTCTGAAGGTGTTAAATTCTAGTGCCTCGCACCTTATATCCAAACGTCCATTGCCACACAAATGGTAGTTATCATACATGTTTCGAAGAAATGCACACAAAGGAGCAAAAGAATCAAAACCTAAATATGGAAGAAACAGAAAACATCTTAAACACACTATTATACAAGTCTTAAACAAAAAATAGAAAACGGCAGCGCCTTTTTGTTCGTGTCTCATGACTGAGCCGCTTCCCCCTTTCTCTGTCTTCGTGGGCACGGGGTAACCATGATCGGCGTGTTCTTCTGGCCCTGAGCCTCGCATGGGGTTCAAGCAGATCACTGCTCATCTGCCTACACCACAGCTATTTTATACCCTATGTTCACCTCAACCTTCCAAACCTCAAGCGCCACATGGTTACAGTCACTCGGAAGTGTGCCCTTGTTTTGCGATTCCTATCCTCCCCTGTTGATAGAGATTGATCATGGTCCGAGCAGTCGCGAAAAGGTGGATTTAGGACGTCAAGACACCACCCGCAAACATCGCCCATGGCCGATCAAAGAGAATGATCGATCCACCGAGCAGCTGGAGGCCCAATCCTGCTAGAAATACATTGCAACATGGGGACAATGATCCATTCATCCATGTTGCAACCAGGTGTTGACACACATCCAATGTCATCAAGCGTCGATCACAATTCGCCTGCTGTTGCTGCTGTTGCTGTTGCTGCTGCTGTTGCACCATTGCACCGTTCGCAGGTGCAGGCTTGGCGCCTATTGGCGAAAGTCACGGGGACCGGACTGCATGCATCATGAGTATCTGCGTTGCTTGTGAACAGTAACAGTAGATCAAACAACCTTTGAAGCATAATCAAGCCCATGCTGAATCACAATCTGAGCCTTTTTTTGTCCCATAGCTTGAAGGTCCAAAGAGCATTTGCTACCCCATCAACATGAACAAAAACACCTCAACTGCTCAGCGCCGGCACCAGAGCGGTATACCATGAACTCATCATATGCACCGGCTTTAAACTGCGGGGGTCAACTACCGTTGTGCCAGTCTCCTCACTTTGTTCTTCCTTTTGTGGGTATGGTTCAGGATCCAGCGGGACTTGTAGATTCAGCCCGCAAAATGCCTTGTGTTCTGGGATGTCTACAAGTCAAGAAACTATAAGCAACTACCTCACTGTCCTGTTGGTCCTCCCCTAGCACCTGCAGCAGCTTCAGCATGAACTTGGGCCTGCCACTGCCAACGTGGATAAAGGAATGGCAAAAGGCTCTGCTCATGAGAATTCGCAGAACAGAGGTGTGAATGACCATGGAGCGCAAATGCAAGCATTGAAACACCGCCCTAACACATCAAATTCCAGCCAAGGGTTCTCTCTTTGGATTGATTGTTATATTACATATGTATTCATCTATGCATCTATCGCGTCCCCTAAGCCTATATACAAAAATACTCAGAAATACAATCTCCCCCAAGCACAAGATTCCCAGGGTAGGCCTGCGGGGCATATTGTGCACAGTACTGTGCATAAGCAGCGTACCTGGGCATGGCCAGGTAGCACTGTAGTGTTCTGTTCTTGCTTCCGTTCATGGCACTGCACCCGCAAGTTTGGCTTGGGTATATAATAGTGCACATACCCACAGTGTGCAGCTCAATACTTCTGCATAAGTACTTGTTTTAGCATACTTTAGAGGGACTTGCTTTTGACATGGTCATTCTAAATGGCCCGTTTGACAAACAACTGAGCGTGCTGGACAGTCCTAGTATCCGGATGATTTCTTACACGAGATGATCTCGGCCAGGTGCCACTTCAATATGCACGTGAGTGGGATCTCCACCAAGTCCAGTGACAAAATGACAACATAAGGCACAACCTGAAGCTGAGTCGAGCAGCATGAGTCGCCTTATCACCGTGGTACTTACTCCTGTGCTCGGCCACCACTCAGGTATGGCGAAAACAAGAAACCATAATATCCCTGGCCCTGAACCGCATCAGGTCTCTGAGATTGAACCGGTCCCAAATGACTAGTCCTCGAACGAAAGGTTTGGAATCTTGGAACCAAAACAAAGGCCATGCCCTGACCAGACTTGGATTTGTTCTCCCAGGAACCGAAAAGAAAGAAAGCATTCAACATCATCGAACATCTTCCCAGTTCACTCACGACAAACATACCAAATCACTCATAAAAGAAACATCATTTCCACCTGCCCGGCCGAACCGAACGGGGGGCACTGCTGCGCCAAGGCAGCGTACTGCTGAGCCTGGATCTTCGGGGCCAAAAACGGGAAGAACAACACTCCTTGAAACCCAAATTGGTCAGTCTGAAGAGAAAGCAATACCTAAGGCTACACAGAAAAATGTACACCACCATGATGTATCATGATGGGCCAAATGAGTTTGGTGGAGTCCACCACCTGTTGGGTGTCTTGTTCCAATGGTCCTTGAAAACGGGCATGCCATCCACGTAACCATGATTTCAGGCCTTTTGAGTCGATGCAAAAAGCGGGAACCTATCCGTTCATTGTGGCGGCCCGAAGAACGTCCTGGCCGCGGACTGGTTGGAAACTTGCGCAGTGGTAAAATGCTGTGAGATACTGTTGTTTGGGAAAGCCATACACAAAAATCTCCCCAGGACATGGCTACAGCATGGTAAACAAAGGTAAACAAACATCACTCCCGAGTGTCTACCCTGCTGTTTCTGGGTGTCTAACCAGCCAGGCTTACCGGCCTCGCACATCCCAACACACCCACCAGGTTGGACTCCTCCAGTTCGTCTCAGTTCTCGGTGGCCGCACCCAATACATGTATTGCTCTGCTTCGGCCACCTTCGAGGGACCGGGACACGTTCTCGGTTTTGGGTGTGGGTGTGGGTGTGGGTGACGAAGATGATGGGGTACCGAGACATGAACTGCTCAAACATGTTGCAGGTCATCTTTGAGTATATACTGTGATTCTTTGTAGTCTTTCGATGATGATTTTGGGCAGTTACTGTTCTTCTGTGCATTCTTTGGATGTTAGACCTGACATGCTTCGGGCGCACACAACACTCACAGCACCCCAAATGTTTTGTTCTAACAATGTGTTGCATGAGTAAATGGGTCGATGTTCGTGATGTTCTGGCTCATGCACCTTCCCAAAACATCGGCCAACAGCAGGTCCAGTTGGTGGGCATGGTCACTGTCCAACAAGTGAACGCCGTTTGCTGAAGCCACACGTTCCCAGATCTGGCCACATCTGTATCTCGGTCTCGGTTCCATTCGTTTGCTGTCGGTGCTAAATTGTAGAAGACCAACCCGTGCTTCACCGATCTTGACATCTCCTGACCCGTCCGCATGACCAAAACGATGAGCCACTTCAGCTCCAGCTCTGCATGTTTTAAAGCATCATGAGATGCCCGTGCCTTAACCTGGAACCTCTGCAGAACTGGAAGCACCCCACGGCCAAGCCCGCCTCGTCTTCCGGAGGATCCGCCTCGGTGACCAAGGTCTCGGGGGTGTTCACCGTGGTCCGGAGACCGCCCTGAAGAGCGAGGGCGCTAAGGCGGGCGCGTGGGCGAACGCGGAGCGCGACAGGTGACAGGGCTGTGAAGAGATGGTTTCAGCAATGAATTGGTATGAAACTCTCATCAGGTGACAGGTGAGCCTTGTTTTCCTGTAAAGAAGTTGTGTGTTTTGAAAGGGATCTGCAAATGTTACATGTCGCCGGCTTCGAGTTTGAAGGTCGGCCCGGACCTGGAGTAAAAGAGCCAATAACTTTGTGCAAGTTCAATGAACAAAAATCCATCGGGGTTTGAGGGTCAACAATCCCTGCCAAAATTCAACGCAGCCAGTTTTTCACACCAGAATTTACTCCCAGACTCCCATAGACCCGGCGCCACTGTCTTCAACGGAGAACACCTGCTTGTAGGTGGATTTGGCCGGCGGAAGCGCCACCTGTTTGGCGGGCGTCAAAACGGTTGATGAAAATTGATCCCGACAAATATTAATACGTCGTATAAAGTCAAGTAAGTAAAAGTAGGACAACCAAAGTATATATTCCAAACAACCACTCAGAAGCTCAAATGCGATGACCCTGCGTTTCATTCACAACTAGAGGATCACCGTGCGGCACTAATTGGGGTAGAAAAGCCACGATGCTCTAAGCATTCGCCTTGAACCTCAGCGAAACTTCGTGGCGCAAACCGGCTTCGATCGCTTTCAGGAACATAAGTGGGATCGTTGGGTTTGCCCACGCAAAGCAAGCGAAAGCAAGTAACATGGACACTGATTTGGACAGGACCTGGTCATCCAGGGTTTTGCAAGCAAGCGTGCAAGTGTAGGGACACTTGCCCAAACGAGCAAGACCTGCAAGGGGAAACACACATCTCCCCGCCTCAGGCTTTGCCTTTCCTGGGCAGGTCTCTCTGGGTAAACCAAAACTGTGGCATATGCGCGGCGTTAAAGCACTAGAGGTCACGGTCAAGTAGGCTAAAATATACTGTCAAACAATAATGAGCAAAAACCACGGGGGCGTACACTTCCGGGATGAGCATGAGCAATGAGCATTTTCAATCCTTTACCTATCTCCAGCTAGCACGCTTTCGAGTTGAACCTGGGTCCAGCATTTGGACTCCCTCAAGACCCGAAGGCCTTGTCTCTGCCCGGATTCACCCTTGTGTCTTGAGTCATAAGAAATGGTCGAGTCAATCCCAATTGCAAATTCAAATCAATATGTAATTACAGTGCAAAGCCGTAACCTAGCCTTCAAAAGTGGCCTTGTTCAGCAGCTAAATCCGGACCACTTTCAGTCGCCTCAAAGCCTCAAAAACACAGCCCACCACAGTCCTTCTGCAGCTTCTCCTTGTCCCTGTCGAGCAAGGATCAAATTCCATGTGCAGCAGCCAATGTGGACTATATGATGTGCTCGGGTTAAACAACGATGATTGTAGCAAGAAGCTACCAGTAACAAGGGCATTCCTACTAGTAGCAAGTATGCATCTGCATTTCCGTATGTCACCAAGCCGCAGCCCCGAACGGACACGTCTCCATCTCCACTCGTCACCCGTCGCCTTGCCCGTTGGATTCCCATCTTTACCTTTGACCTTGAGGCGGTGAGGGATGTGAACAATGACTACCAACTACAGGAGCACGCTTACTGTGACCGAAGCCATTAGCATCATTAGCTACCAAAAAAGGATACGGGCTCAGGATACGGGCTCTATATAGTACATATGCTGCATCCGGGAAAGCAACACATTGGAATCCGACACCTGGCATCAGCAAACACTTGATCACTTTAAGAGCAGCCCTCAAACAGCATCCAACTGAGTTTCTGCATCGATCGATCTATACCTCGATATGTTTTTTATATATATATATATATATTCATGGATTGGTCCTGCGGGCTTCATATTCAGATTGACGTCTTCGAAGAGTCAATCATAGTAGCTTCTAGCTACTAGTAGTAATGCCCTTGTTACTAATAGCTTCTTGTTCCTAGTAATGCCCTTCTTGCCAGGAGCTACTATAGTAGCTTGTAGCTACTAAGAATTCTAAGAATTCTAGTGATATCTAGTGATTCTAATTTAACTTGTGGTAGCTCATGACTTCGACGAACCAGCTGTCTATCTACTTTGGATGCACACTGAACACATCCCTGAAACACTGAAATCCAATCCGACCAACACCCGCAGGCATCACCCCCAGTGGTCCAGCTGACGCAAATCAATGGATTGGTTGAAGAGAAGAATCTGCAGGATACTATGGCTTTCACCCCCCAACAGGATGGGTGCATCATTTTCCCTTAAACCAACTCTGGGAGCAATTCTTGCAAACGAACCCTAACGAACCCTTGCTTCCACTGAGTGCCCCTTGCTTGGCCCTTGCCAACACCTTTCCTGGGCGTGGTGGATCTCTCTCGCACACTGTTTCCAGTCGACTCTGAGAAAAAGCGGGTCTCCACATGCTAAAGCACCGTCTCCAGCAACAGGAGGGTCTTTAAGTAGGAGCAAGGACGCTACTAGGGGCTCCTGGCCTTACTACTAGGAGCAAGGACGCTACTAGGAACAAAGGGCGTCGCTACGAGTAACAAAAGGACGCTACTATAGTAACAAGAGTCATCACTCCATGAGGGTGACAGGGTTTCATATAGTGCTTCGTGGTTTTTAAGTTTTACAACAAACCCAAGTGACATCACAGCCGACCACCTATGCACTGCCGGTGCAGGAAGGTGGTCGTTCGTAACTGAGTTCAATCTTCGAGGCGGCCCATCGGCTTTCGACAAGACCCACCTTGGCCCTTTTTTTTGAGTTTGATCGCCCAAAAAATCTTGTTTCCTGAGCCTTGACTATAGCTTAGCGTGTACCCTGCAACCTTCCAACAAAAACTTTCATTAAACAAAACAACATAAACAAAAACTATTTAATTAAAGACAAAGACTTCACCCGTCTGTATTCAAGAGCTCCGGAGCAAGCGCTTGGTGGAGGAGACTTCCTTCCTTCCCATGACTTCGATCACCAAGTCTCGTGCCCACAGGCACCCCCGGCGGCCGGGGCGGAGCGCCCACTGACGCGTTCGGCGGTGTGGGCGCGCCATTCGCGCCGCCAGGAGCGGTGCCCGTGGTCGTCTGGCTGGTGGCCTGTGAGTCATGGCACATGAGTTGGCAGTGTTTCATCTTTGCTTGTAGAGATCAAGATCAAACAGTAGTATAGTGGCCATGTGTTGTGTTCAACCGGCCAAAACCTAAGATACATGACAAAACTAGCTTGTTTCTCAATCTAGAGTATTCCGCGGACACAAAACCAGGAGCTCGGCAGCCGGAAGTGGCGAGTGATTGGTCCCCCAGCCTCCTTGAGGGTGTCGCCCGGTGCCATTGCCTCACGCATGATGCAAGCAAAGGAGCTTTGGGAGGCCCAGAAAATGGTGAGTGATGGTGAGTGACTGATGCGGATTGACCACACAACATGAACAGAACAAACCACACTGAAGGTCAACCTACCAGGGCCTGGTTTTGACCCACAGCCACGCGTTGCTGCAGATGTCAAGGACCAGCTGTAATCTCCATACATACCAACATTGATGCACATTCTATTGATTGCTTCTGCCCCGTCTGCCCCGAAAAAGAATACAAGCTCAAGACCTCTAAAGACCAACGCGTCTCTGCCAAAATAAGAACGTGCTGCGTTGTTTAAACATGTTTAAACCGTTCTCTCATGTTCCCTCTGTGTGAACACACGGTCTCTTCGCACGGTCCCTACGTCGCGCCGCGCTGGGTCGTCGAGCGTGCCTTTGGCTCTCCAGTGGGTGGTCTGAGCTCTTCCAAGCCCAGGCCGCCCTGCGTCGCGGGTGACTGCAACGCTGTAGCCCAGGACGTCTGCGTTGGCTGCCCCAAAACACATCCGAAGACATCTGCAGAATCTAATGGCTGGGGAAGCTCGCTTCAACAATTAAATCACAACCCCCCCAAAAGGGCTTGGGTCACTTAAACCTGATCTGTTCGCCACAAAGAGGAGTCGTCAGGATCATCATCATCAAGAGTATCAGTGGATGGTTCCTGAAACTTTATCTTTCTTCTATCCACTACTTCTCAGCCATAGCCGATAGGTCTATTTGGACCGTATACATCGACTCTCACGCCTGGCAAAGATTTGTCATAATTCGCCAGACTGTGGGCGCTGTAGCGTTAAACGTAGACCTTCTGCTAGAACAGAATGCCCTGTATGCACTCGGAATTCCTAGATTAGGGCTGTATGATTTTGTTCCGAGGTTCAACGGTTCAAAGAGCCAAAGCGAACAAAAACACACTGACACTGACCTGATTCACTGATGCTTCTGAAGGCTACGTAATCATTGCCCTCTAATCTGACTGGTGCAACTCGTTAGGAATGAGGCTGAGGGACCAGATCCAACGTGTGGTGGGGGGGTCAGTCTGTGATCTCACCTCTCTCCTCCATGCCACCGCCTCCGCATGAGCTTTGGGCGCTGCAACCGCGGTGACCGCACCTGGTGCGACGGCAACGAGCAAACTATCGGGCACTGCATGGAGCAGTTTAGTATCAGGCATTGATATGGGACTCGGCTCTTGGAAGCAGCTCCTCTGATCCTGCATATTCATTGATGGATTTCTCGAGAATTCACGAGACGTCTTGAGAGTAGATTCAAGTTCAGAGGCCAAAAGGCCAAGCCTCTTGGCTTCGCAACTATAGGTATACATATAAAAGTGAAGTGATACCTGGAGTCTCCAAGTATACCCATAGAATCCCATCGACATCAACCTGCGCATGTTTATATGGGTACTGGGAGACTCCGCGTGTGTACAAAACAAGAGAAAGTTTGTCAAATGGCATGGATCATATCGGAGCGTGTCCAGAGTCCTAACGATATGTGATATGAGACTTGTGACGATCAAGCTGGGCAAAATCCTCTGACGCCCTGGGTGAACCTGCTCGTTGCCAACTCGACTTGATCTACTTGGGCAACATGGCAATGCAATACAAATGCCAAGTAGCTATTGCTGTACATGCCAAGACCTAATCCTTGGAGGAGCAGTCGTTCAATAAAACTGTTTACCTCTCCCGTTTGAGAGCGCGACTAACGGCGACCTCCCCGCACCTTCTTGAGTTTCACCTTCAGTTTTGCCAGAGTCCTGGCCTGGCAGGACTAGCCAAAGCTTGCAGTGATCGCTAGATAGGAGAAATGGATATATGTTAAACAGATGATGTCAAGACTCTGGACTCTGGCTAATCTCTGACTATATATATATATATAATCAAGGTACTGTGGTTGCCAATGCCGATTGTCCCGACCCATTTGTATCCTGGTCATTCCTCCTTTGAGTTCAATCATGACGGGCTGAAGTATCCGCCACCCCTTTGGCTATCTCCATGGAACAACGCCAGGATTTATGTCTTCAACAGATCACACCATGTCGAAGAAAATTGATAAACCCTAAACCCTCCGGCACAACCCAAGCGTTTTCGTGGGGGAAAAATAAACAACTCCAGGTCCATCAAAGTTCAATGTCCGTGAAACTTGTTTTTGAGCAGGAATGGCTCAAGCAAAATCTCTAAAAATGTGACTCATCATTATCAGTTGAACGAACTCTGGGAAGTTGACCTTCTCCCAATGGGCCTTGCGGATCCTCCACCTCGCTCGGAACGCGACTCGGCCGGGTCAGGGGGCAAGGGAGATGAACAGGACCGTAGGTCACTGAACTCCATCAAGTGAACTCAACATTGGTAGGAACATCCCCGTGTCAATACCCTGCAGGGGGTCCTGTCATTGATGTTATTTTTCATAGGAGCCTTGACCTCATTTCATAGAGGAAATGGACAGGAGAATGTAGGAACTGAGATTTGTTCCCTACATCCGGTCAATGAACCGCTGAACGCATCGACCGAATAGGGACCCTGTAGGGAACGCATCGACCGAATTGGCATGGTCGTTTCAGCCACTCTGCAAGCACTTTCAAAGCTCTTCCAGCAAGGAAATGGTCTAAAAATCAGTGCCATGTCGTTCCCCCCAAAGTTTGGCCAAACAGTGCGCAGAAACATAAGGCTGTGGGTCAAAACCAGAAAACCTTGGTTGACCTGGACCTACCTGCCAAGCTACATGGTGTTGAGGCTCCAGGTTTTGACCCATCCCTATATGTGCCATTACATTGCCAAACATGTGACTGACAGAGACACCCGTGGGAATGACAGTTGACGTACCTTGACTCCTCGAAGCATCCCAAAGGCAACTATTCCAAATACATGGATCACTTTGGATCAATTGGACACATTTTAATCTGTAAAAGTTGCTGAATTACTCACCGAATTCACGTACTTGCCACATTCTTTTCGGCCCAGCCTTCTCAGCCACGTCGGGCCTCACAACTTGCCACCAGCAGGAAAGTTCGATTAACGTCTTGCTTTTGAAGGATAAAGTCCCAATGTCACTCACCGCGTCTGCTCACAGGAGACCTTTACTCGCCGCTTCTGCTCCCAACATTGGAGACAGTCATAGACAGTCGCAGTCAAAAATGAGTCACAAAGGAGTATCTCCTCGACCAACAAAAGACATTTGGCTGCAACAGATTGCAACAGTGTTTTCAACGGATCACAAAGACACAAGGGGACTGAAACTACCTGAGTTTGTGCCTGTTCATGCAAACTATATATATAACATATAGCTTGAGAGGGCATTTAGTCAGCAGTGGCCATAACCGTGACGGTGGTCACCCCCAAAAGAATAGTCATGGCCCTGCAGCCTTGCAGAAGATCCAGCCATCCTGCGCCTTCCCGGCCATCTTTACCAATCAGATCTCCATGGGAACAGTTCCTTCGGCTGGAGCCCTGGCTTTCTCAGCTCTTTCTGTTTGGCTTCGACTTCCTTGGCGAAGCGAGCAGGAAACACGACCCGCAAGTCTGGGACATTTCAGGACCGTCTGCGAGTCGGTCAATGATTCCGAAAAACACATGTTCTGGGAGTCCATCAGCACCTCAATACTACTACTAGTAGCAAGAAGCTAGCAGGTTGGAGGCCATCGCTACTAGTAGCAAGAAGGTACTGAACACTTCTTGCGTTGAATAATCCCAAGCATCTTCAACATGGCCACTTCCCCATGATTCTTTGCCCAATCATGGGAGTGGCAGGGTCAAGGCCTACGTACGAACAGCAAAGTCACTTTAAGCCGGTGCTTGCAACTCCAAATATGAACAGAATGGTCTTGGAAATGGCATCCTGATCTTCCTCACTCTTCCGAGTCTTCTGGTGACATGTTCAATGACTTCGATCCCTCAAATCCTGAAGCCGATCCAGTGACCAGTGACCAATCGCATCACATCCGCCCAACCCCACCGCCCCACCCCGCGGCCCCGACGATGCCAGCGCCCGAGTCCGCACCGGCACAGGGCGCGGGCTCGGACGGCCCAGTGGCGCTCTCCTGGCGGTTGGGTCCACATCCCGGTTTGGCCCAAACCGGGTCAGGATTCGGGGGGTGCCTGAAGAAATCATCAGATGAAATGATCCAAAGACTTGCTTGGATGGTCTGCTGGTTTGCTTGGTGGTTTGGATGGGAAACTGTCTGTGGTTTTGTCTGTGAGTTTTTGCAACCTGATGCCACTTTAGCAAGTGGCAAGGTCCTTCTGCTGATGGGTCTGGAGGTTCACCTCATTCCCTCTCGATGCTTAGACTCCTGAAGCCTGCAATTAGATGCTTCCAGGAATAGGGAACTGTCAAACGTTTGCATACCAATAAGTGTCTATAGATTTGTAGAATATGTCTGTAGTCAGTGTATGCTATGTACAGTCTGTATATTGTTTATATATATGATATAGACATTTTGTATATTAAATATAATATAATGATATCAATACACATGTGTAAACGTATATTATAAGTATCCGGTCAAACTACTTCACTGAGTCCAACACCAGAACGTCAGGACCTTCTTATTTCTTATTAATTATGTAATATTATGATAATATGTATATACATGTTCTTATTTCTCTGGTGCATTCTGGATCTCATGGACCGGTATCGTTCCCCTCGGGTCCCCGAGCCTCTTCCGTCGCCATAGCACCAAAGTTCTCGTCGAGCCAGGACGGCGGAGAGGCGAGCGGGCCGTGCGGGTGGCAGGCGACCGAAGCATCCAAAAAGACAAGCACTCATAAGCACTCATCGTATAGAGACATAATGTAGGTTGGAGGCCATCGCTATATTCATAGTTGATGCCTTACTTTGCGGAAAACACACACAAACAGAGGTAGTACTTATGCTTAGTTTCTGTATGTTTCTGTGATCTTGAACGTTGAACTTTAATATGACAACACTCTATAACTATGATCTCGAAGTTTCAAGAAGCCATTCAAGTTGATCGTTTCCAAAACAAAAAGGGTTTTGACCCCAACCCTTTGGCTTCACCATGTTTTTGCCACATTCTGACCCCAAAGGTCTGCACAGTGTCAGATCATCGATCTGACACGTGCCCAGGCTGGTTGGACATGATCTGACCTTCAAGCCGAGCTGGTTGGATCCACCTGTCCCCAATCCCAAAAGAGGTTAGAGGATGCTTACAGGTTGAGCTGTCTCTGACTGGGTAGGTCATGACCCTAAACAATCTGAATGGATCTGAACAGCTTCACCAAGTAGAGCCAAACTGAGATCAGGTCCCATTAAGAACCAAGGTTGCTTGGTTGTAACATAAAGCATACAAGGATGTTGTACACATTCTCATATCAAGGATGCTGGGCTCCGATCTGAAAACGCAAGCTCATTTTTCGGGACTCAACTCCTCCATGGTCCAAAGTCTGCAGCGATTGGACTGGACATCTGCGGTCATCGGGTGAGGTTGGCGTCGTGGCACGAGTTGAGTAGGCGTCGTGAACGGGTCCAGTTGTTTGGGTCCATGTGTCCAAATCCCCCCTATCGAAAGGTTGACCAGGGATCCCTTGTCGAAGGTGGTTTGCGGTCACTCTGAAAAGTTCATCAGAGCCACTTGCTTGCCCAAGACATCTGTGTCGCTGGGGACCCGCTACTGAAGTACAATAGACTCACTACACCCTGACAGTCTTCCCTTCCCGGGTGCGGGTCATGGGGCGGCCTTGCTCTGGACTTGTAACAGGGGATGGGGCCCACCAGGGCCCATCAAGGACAGCGTCATGTGAGTTGTAAAGTATATGATATATATATATATATCATTTAAAGGCAGGGATCGTTGCCTCCTTCTAAGTTTTGGAAGCACGTTTAACTATGTCCACTAGTTTTTTAAGCAAAGAGTTTCTGGGTCAACCTCATTTTGTATACATGTTCCCACGATCCGAGTAGGTCTGAGCGAGCTTTAGTTGCACATAGGAAGAGTCTCAAGGTCCAGGCCAATCATGAGCTAAGACAGCGCCAAAAATGAACAGACTGGATAGACAGCGCCAAAGTCCAGTGCTGTCAAGCGCTGCCACAAGGGCAATACAGACCGCCCTGTGCTGGGGCGGCTTGACCCAGTGCTGTGCGGGCGGGAGAAGTTGGTGTCGAAAAACGTTAAAGAAAAGATACCAAACAACCAAGACTTGGATTCCTCCAGTTCCTTGTAAAACACTGGCACAAGAAGCACACAGAATTTGCCAGCAAGTCCAAAACGTCACATGCGCCAAAACAGTGCCGGGCACGTGCTTGCAAAGTGCGCGCTTTGTTGAGCGTGCCTCTGTTCATGTTTCCAAAGCTGTTCTTCAGCAGCGCCTGATGACTCCGAACCATGGGCAGCTCGTCGGACGGAATCTAAAGCGGCCGAGCCGAGCCTTGAAACATTTGACGAATGACCTTCACTGATGCCGGTGGCGAGGTTTCGCCAAGTGGAGGATGAAACAGCAACAGAGGATGAAACGTGGGAGGTCATGTGGACTCGTTGACTCTTTCCATTGCCAAAGGATGTAACAAAAACAAACTGTCAACAATAACCACAATATGTGAATCCAGCAGTAGACGTCCAAAAACCACAGCCAGTCCAGTTTGTAATGACTTGTTTGATCCAAACGGAGAGTCGCTGCGCTCACCACCAAGTGATGAAGGTCAAAATTACCGGCTACTCGACTTGGGCCTTCTGTGTTTGTGGAGAGTTCCAAACCAACAAACCAAGGTTAAAACATTTGGTTATCAACACAAATCCCGCCCCTAAAAAACACAAACACCAAAAGCAACCCCAAAGCACCAGTTTCTACAAATGCTGTTATACTGTTATACTCCTTGTCTTGAAAGTTCTTGAAAACTTCAATGATCCGATACTCATCTCAGCCTCTGAACTTCCACGGGGCTACCCCCGAAAAGGTGGAGCAGTTCAAACGCTTACAAACGCTGTAATGCTTCTTTTTGGACCTCCTGCAATGTTCCAACTGTTTGAACAAAAAACACGCTATTACTGTCGCAAAAAAACAATTCAGTCCCCATGTGATTCTTACATATTCGAAGTCGGGATTTCTCAGGTGATCTGCCAACTTCGATCCTGCCAGGGAGACCCCGACCGATGAACGTCCGACCGATTGCCAACCAATGAGGATGCATGAAGATGAATAACGTATAGAGACACTACTGGTCCGGTTGGCATCAAAGAAAACACCCGCATCAGTTGGCCGTTAAACGCAGGTGGAGCAAGTAAAGAAGACGCCCAAGACCGAGTTCCGATGGCCGAAGATCGGTGGCTGACACGGGTGGCCGCCACCGTGAGACCTAAGCTCGCACCCCACTTCCAAAGGAGTATATAGAATTCCGTTGAACTATAGAAGGACTTATCATGATTTGGTCTAATATTTTGTCTATTCTCATCCTACTTATTTATAGAATGCCTGGTGGGAAAAACAATGATGTATTTATAATGTTCAGTTATGTTTAGTCTCTTCTACTGCTGCTGGCTGCTGGTCTTTGGAAGTACGCGATGGACATTCATTGGCGAGAGCACGTATATAGACATACCTTCGCCGCAGGAAGGCATGGTTGCCCCCAAGACCGTGCTGAGTCGTCAAAACGGGGCTTGGAACATTACTCCGAACCAAATTAAATAGATCACCCTCGGTGGCCAAAGGCCCTATTGTTCCACTGACTGGTCGCCAAAATGGCCAGAGGTGTCCTCACTGTAACTTAAACACATGGCGCCTGAAGCCGCCAACAGCACATAGTTTGGATATCACAGCCCCGGAGCTGAAGTCACCTTCCTGTCGCTGATGACTTCCTGTGTCATGCTACCTGGTCCAGTTGCATGAATCATTGTGAATCACTCGAAGACCATTCCAAATCCTGTGGATGAATGGCTGGCAGCAGGTAGCTGTCCCATTCTTGAAGACATTCCTCGCTTCATAGTCTAGGGTCCCAGGGTTGAAATCTACTCCCCGCTCTCCCACTCTCGCTCGTCAAATCAGCGATCATACCCACCCACCACTGGAGTAGCTCAGAGCAGCACAGGACCCAGTGGCACTCAGAGCGATCACCCCCTGGCATGTGAGAAGTGTCTGACCTTGCTTTGCACCAGGGTTTGACAATGTCCCAACAGGAATACCTGCTGATACCAGTGGCGTCCAAATCAAATCAACTGTGTCAACCAGAATGTGAGGCTCCCAAATTCTTGTCAACTCATTAATTATTGATTAAGAAACGCTATGGTACTGACTAATCAGCTGTTGACGTTCCAGCCCGAATTCAATAAACACTCCTTAAACCGCCGCGTGCCGAACAGCGAAGCGAATGCAGTATATATCCCCTGGTGGCAATAATGAACTGTTTATATATATATATATGTTGTTGAAATCATCTAAATCACTCAACAATCCAAGCACTTACCACCTCCCAATCATTCCAACATGTTATTCAACAGTGGGTCAGGAAACAAAAACGCCTGCAGTGAAAGCAAACAACAACAACAACAACAACAACAACAACAACCACAACCACAACCACAACCACAACCAAAACAAAAAAACATTGAATAATACGTGATTCCAGGGCTTTCCTCTATAGAATCTGTGTTTCTCCCTCCGCTCTCCGCTCTGATCTTCGCACCTCAGTTGCAGCGCCCAGGCTGGGCGGGGCAACTCTGCCGCCTCGGGTCGACGGTCAAGGCTTGGACGCTCGATGACGGCGTGAGGACATGTGAGGACTCAACCGTAGGCCGAGGACTCAAAGGCTTGGGCAAAGCCAGTTGTCTTGATTTGTTTTGTGTGTTGCTTATGTCTTTTGATATGTTATATTTTTCTGTTTTTCAGCCGGATGGATTCTGTATTTGGTGGCCATGTCATTGTATGTCATTGTCATAGTTTCGAATTGATCCTCATGTTTCTTAGTTGATTTTGGTAGTGTATGGGGTTCACGGTTGGTAAGATAGGTACATGCGTCGGAGTTGAACGTGTTTAAGGAGCCAGTGGGTACCGTTGAAACAGAACGATTTGCTTGAACCCTGTTTTGGGGCTCATTGACACCCAATGAACCACTGATACGAGGAGTATCAAGGAGTCGTTGATCCAGCCCCAGCCCGCCATTTGTTCGACACACCACGACAACTCCAAATCAAAACTCGGTTCTAACATGCCATGTTGTGAACCTGTTTATGGAACTTGCCCAACTAACAACTTCGCGAAACTCTGCCAACAAGGAATTTGCCACCAATCGCCAGAGTCTGCCCCCACTGGTGTAGCTCGGTAGACAGCTGGTCCCGGACCGTGCGTCCCTCGGCCCCCCACGGATCGGCACCCTCGCAAGGCTGCGGCAGTGGCCGAACCACCTTAGGAGGTGGGGACGTTAACGTTGGACACACGGCTTCACTTGACAAGCTGCTCAAGCTTAAAGAGATGCAAAGATTACAAAGCATGTAAGTCATTTCATGGAACTATATATACCCTAACGGTCGACGACTAGTCTTTGTCTAGTCTTTTGTAGTAAACTAAACTTTGTACACCTCGACCATTCAATTGTACTCTGGACAACCCTCGACCATTCAATTG